TTTTTCACATTTTGGCTCATAATGGCAGTTTATAAATAAAAAAACATGCATCTATCAATGGGTTGAAGAAATTTGACCATGACGGACACGGTAGCTCAACTGGTTAAAGCAGCACCATGGATCGCTGTTGGCGCTGGTTCAAGTCCCTTGCATAATCATGCATGCTGCATGATCTTTAACGAATATAAGCTGTATAATTTAAAAATCGAAAATAAATTGACAATTGGTAGAGGTGTTGCTGCCCGGAACGCTGACGATGCCGGTTCAAGTCCTGCCCGAATCGAATTTTTTTTTTCAATTTATTTTCGATTTTTAAATTATATAGTGCCTTCATGTGCAATACATATAAAAAATAATAAAATTTTCGAATATAAGCTAATTGTTATTAGAAATAGTTTTGCCGCATTTTGGAATAATTATCTAAATGAATTATGAAATCAAACTAGTGCATACAATGTTATATGCATTTAAACCCTTATACTATATCTTGTCGAACTTCAAATACGTAGAAATCACAATTATAAGTGAATACTAGGTGACCTTTCAAATTAATTTGTTAAATTGTTAAACGTTTTTAATCTGTAAAGGTGTAGAGAAGGCCTAACTTGCATCCTGTCGTTGGTTGAAGCATAAATTGTTCAACACTGTGATTTATTGTCTATTGTTTTGCTAAATACATGCTTACATTGCTTTTGGAGGTTATAATTAGATAAATCCCAGATCCAAAGAAGATTATTCTGATCAAATGCCGGACTAGTTTGACGGGCTTGGTATTGGTAGCAATGTATGTTAATTATACAAAGGGTCGTGGGACCGATCCCCACTGGGTCCAACATATAACATTTGTAATCTTTCTGACAACAAGTTTGACTTCGTCTCGAAATTTGGATATTTAATGGCTGGTAGGAATACCGAAATTCCGTCCGGGTCACGAACCACCGCCCGTAGATGTCAGAGCCGTGGAGTTTATTCGCGTTTCAGTATCCGTTTGTGGATTTTACTTTTTGTTGTTATACCGATAACAAACAAATAAAAAATGAACGGTTTAAAACGCGAAATATATTACTTGACTCATTTCTAATTTATTTTAACTACGGCCGGATGCTTCGCAGAAACTTCTCATTCGCAGCGTTTAAGCAATGAAACGTCTGTACATGTGTGTACTACTCGCGTAAAAAACAATTTATCACAGATAACGAACAATTGAAATACGTAGTCCCTTAAAATCTATAACTCATCTTAATAATTGATAGCTAAAATGTAATTATTAGGTGCTGCCATCAAGTGTCCGTGTCACTCACTTTCTCTGACAACCCGTTAAGGGAATATTAATTTACAATGAGACGGTCGTAACTTGCTATTTTCGTATAATTAAACACTCTGCGCCATCTTTCAAAGTAAGGCTAATAAACTACTGATTCCGAATAAAACGCTTTTAATGGTTTGAAACGCGTTTATTTTTATGCGTACGAGCCGCGTTAACAACCGAATACTTAATAACTGAATCATTAAGTAATGTGAAAATTGTATAGTTTACAGTTGCAAAGCATGGGAAACATTGGCTACTAGTTAAAAGTTAACTAATATATTTCTCGTTTTAAACCGTTAAAAGGTTTAAAGACATTTATTTCTCAAAAAAGATACTAGATCACTTACTTGCGAACACTATACAAATCAACATTATTGTTACAATTCTACCCGCGTGCAACGCTCAAGAAATTATGACTAAGGACTATGCATTACGCTGTGTTTAATTAAATTTGTATTATTTACGTCACTTACATATTTATTTTTCTATAAATAAAATTTAAGTAGTTCTTGACCTCACAAAAACATCATTACAAAAATGCAAACTCAAAGCTCTTGGATATCAACTTGTCTTCCGCTTCAAGAGATCGCTCTCAAGCGATGTTTCAAGTTGTGCTTGAAGTATTTTAACCGATTAAAACGTAACGATTTCCAATCAAATATTTACTATTGTCCAATTTACCTTCAGGGCCACAATATCTGCATGTTATAAATACAATGATGATACTAGATATGATTAAAATCAGTCTTTAAATACAGTGTATGTATATCTGTCCCCGCTGAAATAGAATTTAAGAAGAAAATAAAATAATTATTTAATAATATTACGGACATGATTTTTCGATATTAATAAATGGTACAAGATAGGCGTTTTAAACACTAAAATAGTGTAATTATAATATAAAACTTATGTATTTGCCACACCCAACCATTAATATTCAGTGCTACATATAATATCCCAATTTTTTTGAAAAAAAAGTACATGTCCGTATCGGTTTTGAGCCATAAGACATCATTTTATATAAATAAATAATGTCAGGGATAAAAACTTTTGGATTATCGATAGCTTTATAGTTTACTTGACAGTTGTTAGCCCGTTGCCTAATTCAATTATCCCTGAGTACAATTCTATGCATAATGCTCTCAATATCCTGCCAGCATCCGCAACATCGCATTGTGAGTAACAGCCAATGCAATTATGTGGGAGGATTTACAGCTGTCTACTGTTTACTAAGATGATTATACAAAGAGAACATCCAAGCAACAATATAAAGGATATTTTCACTTCTATATAATAAGACGTACTTGATAGTAGTTTAAGCGAGCAGTATACATTTAAAAACAAGTTTAAAACGCGAAATATATTATTTGATTTATTTAAAATTTAATTACGCTTCCTCGTGATCATGGCTGGGTTTTAAACCCTAAAAGTGTTTTATTTTATTGGTAGAAACTTGTTGTACTTGACTATTGTTTTTTATATGATTACAATTGTCCATTGCATATGTTTGTTTAGACTATCCTTCAATATTGCTTCGTATATCCAACAATATAGGGTATTCTTTTTTTATGACAGAGTAGCAGGACCTGATCTAGGCTAACATACTTCTCCCGTAGAGCATTTAAATAACTCGACTTGCTTTTCGACATTCCAAATCTAAAAATTAAAATTGGAACGCGATTACAATTCACGTTGTCTTTTTTATTTATGGACCATAGTTCGTGTTGCGGACGTAACATCGACATACTCAGCACAGATTTCTTAATAAAGGTTATAGAATTTAGAAACATATTAGACCCCATTGGAATCGAACTATATTAGCATATTAGCCATACATATACATTGCCATATGACCGACGACGTCTCTACAATCTTTATCTATGAACTATGTGAAACAGAAAATGCGGCACTTAATACAGTAGGTAAAGCGGCCTTAACCTCATTAATTTGAAAAGAAATAAAAATCAGCTAAATCGCTTCAAAGAGAATCTTTCTCTGATAATAATTAGGTTAATTAAAACCCAGTTTCATTCATTTAATAGATCTATAGAGAACACTTATACTAACTTTTCAAAAACATTTCACTTGTAAGAAACAAAGACTGCGACAAGTTCATAGACTATATTTCAAAATTCAAAGGAATGGAGGATATTACAGCGTTGAGAATTTTGTTAGGCCCCACTTTATATTGAAGAGAATTCTTATTAATACATCAAAGGAACGTTGACATATCTAATTTAGTAAGTCAGAAAGGAGTCTTAGATGTTTCGTTAAAGTCTCTTCACTAAACATATATATGATTAGATAAGTTATTGTTGGCCTCTGTAGATATTTCTCGAGAACTCTTGGGTTAGAATTCTGGGTACACAAGCTGGGTATCCTACTGGCCTACCCCCGGACGAAGTTATCTCCGGGCCTTGGAATAAATAGCTATTTGGGATCTTTTTTTTATTGGTTTATATTTTTATTTAAATAATTTTGTACACCCTTTGCTTTTTAATCTTAACCTTATGTTACAAATTTATTTATTATCCTAATTTACAGCATGTTTAATATCTTATATATTTATTATTACTTATACTTATATATTTATTATCCTAATTTACAGCATGTTTTAATATCTTATTCTAATATTATATAATTTATTATACAATATTCTTTTTTTGGGGGTTGGATATTCGGAATTCCACAGACTGAATAACGCGATTAAGTTTCACGGCTTTTTCGTTTGTGGGCGGTGGTTCCTGACCCGGACGGAATTTCTATGTTCCTATCACCCACTTAAGTTTCAGAAAATTTAAAAATTAAAATCATGTTGGAAATGTGGGACTCTGATTATCAGTAATACATTGCTACCATTAAAGCCCGTCAAGAATCATGACGTACTGGAAATTTAACCATTTTTAGATTTAATAAAATATTTCCCGCCATATTCTTTAAAGGTCACGGACATAGGTCATATGTCATGTCGACAGCCAATTTGCAACGTAAATCATTCGATCAATAACGAACCGCGCGATGCCAAATGCTATCCATCTATCACGACAGGTTGTCTGTTTGAAGCTTTGATATAAAAACGTTGGTTTTACATTTAACATAAATATAAATGTTAAACTCTATTTATTAGGTTATTTTTCTGTGAAAGAGTTATCTTTAACTTTGTCAAAAATTTCGTTGTATTTTTTTTCCGTGGAAACTAGAATAATAGAGACGATTGGCTTGTTGGTATAATGGTAACAATTTATAGTTAATCAATGGGTCATGTCATGGTTCGATCCCGACCGGCTCCAAGATTTTTCTAATGAATTTATAATTCTTCTGAACCATGTTGCACTTTGTCTGGAAATTTTGTTATTATTGTAGGATTAACGGAATTCCGTCTTGTCGCGAACCATGGACGGTGGTTCGCAACAGATGAAAACGCCGTAAAGTTTCTGCACTGTTTAGGTTTAAGTCTGCGGATTTCCAAATATCCAATGTCAAAATAGGTCAACAGCGCTTCACGTTATATGGCTGTGGAATTTCATCTACTATCAAATGAACTGAATTAATGAACATAGAATAAAGATATGAGTTATCATTTATTTCACTAGCTCAACTGATCAGAAATCTTTACAATTTTTGTGACCTCACTTTAGCTTAATTTAAGTATTAAAAATCAAAAGTAATAATTGTTATTTTCTACTTTCAGATATTCACAACAAATTGTAACTTCAACAAACCGGTAAGTAAATAAAAGAATCATGACTAATACCGCTAAAGAATCATTATAAAAATAAATAATCTTGTCTTGTAATTGAATAGAACCTTTTTCCTTTCCTCGGTAAATATCGGAAATGGGTTTCTTTGAAACGCTTCTAGGAAAATTAAATGTAAAAGAGAAGACTCTTTGTACGCTGTTCGTTTTAATTTAAACGAATTATTAAAGCTAAATGTGGCGTTTGCTGAACTTAGCTTAATATAGAATGATAAGGAAATGTTCAAGAGCCCGCTGTGACTCAGTGGTTTAAATCTTGCCTAGATAGCGCGAGAGGTCTTTATTCGATTTTTTTTTCACGTAGGGAACAGTAAAGTCTTTTTCGCTACTTGGCTGTAATTAAGCTTCTCTTATTATTAATACAAACATAATTTTATAAATTAAAAAAAAAAAACGAGATTCGAACTCACGACTGACAGAACTTTGAAACACTACGTCGTCAAGAATCTTGTGGTAATTTTCTCAGTTTAAATAAAAACACTTTAACGGCTTAAAGCACGATATATTTTAGTTAAACTTGTTTGAGAATTATTTTTATTTTTTATATTTTACTACGACCCGACGTTTCGGATGCTTTGCAGCAGCCGTGGTCAGAGAAAGACTTAATTTTCTCAATTTGAAAATACCGTTTTGACTGTAATTAACGCAAGTTTATTCATTACAACTCTATTAACTGTAAACAGCCCGTAACGTCGGGTCGTAGTAAAAATTAAAGAATACGTTTCAAATTTAAAATCGCCTCAATGTTTTATATAAAAACTACTACCAATTATGTAATCACTCATGTTTAATTAACAAGAGAAAATAACTAAATATAGTAAAATCTAGGGAGAACGCCACGTTGCGTTTGCATAAAAACAACCAATTAAGCGTATATGGGGTTTTATTTATTGTAATAGAGAAGTGAAGTGCACGTTCGAATCATGTGCGTTGCGTGGGAACGAACACCCCCTCACATTATATACATGAAAGTGCAGCTGCAATCTCATGGGAAAAGATTTTATTAAATCCTAAAAAAATTAAAGATATTACAAGATGTTTCTGTGCATTTACACTAAGTTTCTAGTAAAGATATCGAATTTTGACGATTTAGCAATATCAATAACGGGTCTCGGAGTCTACTCCCTTCGATCTAATGTGTTTGTTAATCATTCAAAAAAAACACTTTTACGGTTTAAAACGCGAAATACGTTTGCTATTTTACTTAAAAGAGTGAGATAATTAAATAAGTTTCTGTCTAAAAGTAATTTACTCTAAACTTAAATAAATATTAACAACCCTCTTAACCAAAAGACATTTGAATAATCTATTTTTCTTCTAGTCAAGTTATAGCATAGCGCTGCCGAACTATGCCTATTTATTTCCTAATCGAACTCTGGACTTCTTGCCCTTAACATAATGTTAAGTAGTGTTTTTAATCATGTATTATTTTGTATGAGTGAAATAGCTTGTATTTTTTGTGATCGTTATAAAATATTCAACAATATAGGATTTTAATAATTACATAACACCGCAAAATCAGCTGTATTGTATTAGGCACTTGTGGATCCCAACAGCTGGGCACCAAAGAAAAAAAAAGCACGGAAGCACATGCGCCCAATAGCAGATGTCTTTGACAGTTTGAGTGATGAGATGGCGCTAATATATCCATCTTATCGAATTAACGTCATAATGTAAATATATTAACTCAATCTGTTTCTGTAGAGAAGTATATGGCAGGAAGGTAGGTATTGTGCAGGAATGAACAAATAAAATCTATTATCTTACTTGTCAGAATATGTCCCATTATATTATCTGTGATACTGACCAATGGTAAGCATAAAGTGTTGAACTAAACACGAAAGGTCCCAGGTTTGAATACCTGGAAAAGACATCATATTATTATTAATATCATTAGGTCGGACACAAAACGCTAAATATGTACTGTACCGTGTAGAAAATCACTTAGGTATTGGTGTTTAAAATTACGGAATGTATAGGTATTCAAACTCGTTGTTTATAAAATTCTAAATTTGAGTAATTGTTGTCAAAAATTAAAAACCTACCACATATATGAAAATTGATAAATTTAACAATTACACTCCAACAAAAGAAATATTAATTACACTACATCCGTACGTGCAGTGCATTAATTTTATCATCTATTACTTCTTAATAACGTTATCTACATCTTACGTGCTCTTGCGCAGAAGACGTAAAATATCAAACGAATTCGTTGCTCATTCGTAAAAATGAATCGTATGGAACATGTTTAATGGCGGTACGTGCTAAGAACGTAATGGATTGAATCTAATTTTATTACAGCAGCCACTGTAAGGAAGTTTGATACTGCCATAAAAGAGAGTTTAATGGTTATTTGTTTTGATTTAGTACGCGTACATAAGGCATATGTAGTTATAGGTAACATTCGAGGTCACAACGGTATTGAATACAAAATAGGGGATCTCGCGGAATATATTGATATACGAAAGTAATATTTATTTATAAAGTTCGGCTGGAACGATGGAAATTCTTTTGAAATACCATTCTTCGAGACATATTGTATTTTTTTAGTCCTTTGAATAACATCCCTACTTTTGGGACAAGTTTGAAAAGGGCAGCTTTTTTTCCTGCTTATTAAGTACGCGTTTTCTGTCACTAAGTTTATACTATACTATATTGGCCGCAGGTTCGAGTCCTCCCTGAGACATCAATATTCTTCATAATAAGTCCTTTGTATGATTTGAAGATAAAATTGCTTTAAAAACATAAACATTGTATTATCCTACATATTTTACCATCGTACTAATAGTCAATCGGATAAATATTATACGTTTATTATCACAATATAAATGTATAATTATGATTGCCAAAAAAAATATTTTATTATAGATACTAATAGTACAGTCCAAATTGACGTATCCACCTACGCACAGCTTATAACAAGTGGCATAGATTAGCTCAACGTAACGACTCTGTGGGAACGACATATAACATCCACCATGACATTTTAAATCTGATAAAACTTTTGTAAGTATATTTAATAGGTTTGAGTTGTTTTTTATCTGTGGTGAAAAGAAAATCTTTGACTGTCACTTGTCACTGTCAATTGCAATGCAACAAGCTTATTTAAAGCCTGAAATGCTGAACTTGAGCACATCCTTTGAGTGAACCGAAAATTGTCTAGCACTTTTGGAGATTAGCGTATTCGTAAGGACAGATAAAATTTGTTTTGCCTTTTTTTCTATTCCTTTCCTACCTCAGTTTTTGATCGAGTTATTAAATGTAAAATTTCGTTCCTTTATATATGTACATCTAAATGAACGTATAATAAGCAACATTGTTTAAAGCGAAGACGGATAAACCTGTAAGGCTTTATCTCCGTACAAATCTGCCCACGCTAAGCTGTAGCTTAGGATTACTGTTATAGGTAAGCAATACGCAGTCTTTAACTATGTTTAACGTTCATCAACACCCCCCCCCCTTAAAAAGATGGTGGTCCCCTTTAGGGCACGCTTCTAGCATCAAACAAACATTTTTGGAAACGTCAATTTAAAAAAAACGAAAAACATGTTTCTTTATAAACACTATGAATATATATATTTTCCATTAGAATAATAACTAAGGAAAACTTACTAGACACAAACACGATTTCTTCGTACGAAGTATCATTCAAACTTGATGACAAAAGTGTTATTAGGCAATTCCGTGGGCCGTCAGCAATGTAAATACGTAGTGATCGGCCTATATAGGTCGGGTATTGGGGACTGAATGGAAGTTGCCAACTAGGTCGAAATAGTAATGCAATCGCCCGTCGATGATTGCCCACCGACAGTGCCATCCGTCATACAAATAAATTATTTATTAACTGCTTGTGTTCTTGTGGAATAAAACTTTTCTCTGACTAATTATTTATTATAGTTTATCGAACAGCATACATTATTATGGACATATTCACAATTATTAAATGTAAACGTTTATACGTTGTTACCCGGTCATGTTTAGCTAATGCAATGGAATGGAAAGTAACATTATTAAAAACGTTTAACGGTTTAAAACGAACACACGTCTTAAACCGTTACTTTCGTCTCGGTTTCATAATAGTATTTATGAATTTGTAAGTAAGAAGATTGGTTAAAATATTGAAAATATGTTAACTACTTAACAAAGAAATCATTCAATTTAATTTTAAATAGTCTAATAATTTCTGAGATTATCGTGTTTAAACATACATGTATTTTGACCATTAATGTCAGTCTGGATTCATATAGTCCACTACGTGTGTTCTCATAGCATAAATTTACGAAACGTAAAGTACAAGTCAGGTTTCTATTGCGTCCGTAGAATCTCAAGTGCCGGTCCATTCATCAAAGACACGCTTTGATCTAGTCATGTCTGTGTAGTAGGGCGTGTATACAAGTATACATACAAATAGATTTACTCCTATAGGCTATATGTAGGTGTATTTTAATATTTACATACAATTATGGTACAAGTTAACTGGCCTACAAATCGACGTAGGCTAAACTGTCAGCTCTATATGTATAAGTCTCCTTTGTCGGTCTTGTGGTAATTTTTTTTATCACAAGGTTAAATGTTTGAATTCTGGATTAGTAAAATGCTAGTTTGGGTTTTGGAATTTTCTTAGAAAATTTCAGTAGTTGAAGGTCGCATTAATCGATTCAGTGGCGATACCTGTTAAAGCCCACCACCCCAAACTGGATCATTTTGATGGGACCTCTAAATCATCTGTGCATAAATGTACAAAGATTGTATACATACATGGATGAACTAAGACTGTTAAAACTATACACGAGTCCTACCATATACATTCGATGTAAATTTTCACGTATTTAAATAAAACACTAACGGTTTAAAACGCGATATATTATAACACGGGGAGACTCCCTGTGACCACGGCTGCTGCAAAGCATCTGAAACGTCGGGCCGTAGTTAAAAATAATTTTCAAACAAGATTTACTAAAATA